TAAAAGATACAAATGATTCGGCAAATTTAGTCCTTTGAACTTTAAATTATAATTATAATCATAGCGTGTATGATTAAATTCTCCCAAAAACTGTTATGCGGAGCTCTACTAAATTAGCAAAGTGGTGTAGGGTATCATAAAGTCGGCCCGCCCGACTTTAAATTTTTCTTTACTGGTTTTTACACTTGATTCTCATATCAAATTTCAAGGTTTTCTCTCTATCCGTTTATATAATTTCAAATGGTACCAAATTTAGTGCACTTTAGTACTTCTGGTACACATATTCTTAAAATTTCGAAAAACACTTTAGTTTGTTTATCCTTCGCAACATCCGTACTTTTTAGTATATATATATATATCAACCAATTCCCACAAAAGGTGATCCTAATTCAAAGTTTAGACATCCAACTCAATTCCTTACCAAAATACCAAATTCAGTACTTTTTAGTACGTAATTCCAAAACCACCTAATATCTCAAACATACACACCAAAACTCAGAAATGTAACTAACCCTACGATCAATGCTAAATTTTGTACCCTTTTTACCTTTTACCCAGCTCCATAGATTCACCCAAATCCAATTTATACCAAATTTAGTACCATTTAGTACACATAACCCAACCCTAAAAAAGTAATCTTAATTCCAAATTTCGGGATTGCAGCAAATTTAGTACCATTTTGTACCGTTCCGGCACATAAGTACAAATTTTGAAAATTACGTCCATACTCCAATCCTATGTTAATTTCAAATTTAAGGACTCCAGCTCCATCCGTTCCTGCAAATTCAAATTGTACCAAACTTAGTACCGTGTAGTACTTTTCGTATTAATGAGAACACACTTCTAAAAGTACCACCTTACATCTAACCTAGTCCTCACCCTTCATTCCCATTCCAAATTTCAAATTTTTAGCTCTAACTGATCACATAATATGAAATCGTACCATTTTAGTGCTTTTCGTACACTTATAGTGCGAATTTCCAAAATTCCTTTCGTACATCCAACACTCACTCCATGCGACGAATTATTATTACGAATTTCCAAAAACTCTTACCCAAAATTTCAAGATTCTAGCTTCAGCCGTTTCGTCGGGGCGTTGATATTTCCTGAAATCATATTGCTTTAATCCTTATAGTAGGTTTCTTTTTAACAAAAGATAATTATAAAATCGTTTCTTTTCTTTCTTATTTTTCTCAACAACTTTTGTATCTCTGTTCTGTTTCTCATTTTAATTGATATAAGATTTGTTTGGGATTTCTTCTGGAAAACCACAAAACGATGCTAGTAAAAAGAAAGAAAACATAAAAGTGCCCTAACATAAATATTTACTATGTAATGTACTCTAGTGATTTTCATGGTTATCGTTTAACATTTAATGGTTATTATACTTAAGGATGCCAAGAGGGTGGGGTTGCGGGGAAAGAGAGAGAAAGAGAGAGAGACTGGGATGCTGCTTCTGCAACAACCAATTCAAAGTAAAAAGCTAGTAACAGCAACGTTACGGCAAACTCCCTGTGGAATATAAAAACTTATGGTTCTTTGTCGACAACAGACAGGACATCAGCAAGAACAACAACAACAATGAAGATGTTGATGTTCTTGTTGTTACCTGAGCATTGTATCTTCTTTTTACAACTTTGCAGGAAAATGGGAAAAATCTAGGAACCACTAACACAAAAGCACAGGAAACGAAGATAATGTGGATTTCGTTTTGGGACCACAAGATTTCGTGCCACTAACCCAAAAACCTTATTAAATATTAATAAATGTTCGAGAAGATTTTTGTTTTCTTGCAGTTTGTTTATTTGTGTGGAAGTATATAAAGAAAAAATAAAAACAATATGAAAACCCGAATATTTCTACTGATTTTGAAAAATAAATTATTTATGGAATTTACCAACATAATAATTAAGATAGAAAAAAACCTCACCACAAATATTTCGATTTTTAAAACTTAAATTAAATTTTATTAATATTTTTGTTGCTAAGAAATATTTCAAACTATATCCTTTTCATTTTATTTTTAAAGATATTTCCGAAATTTGAGTTTTAAATTAATTAAAGCAGCCTTTTCAATTCATTTGATCTCTGAGTGTATGTTTGTGTGTGTGTGTGCATTTGTGTTTTGGCCATGTCACACTTGATTTGAATTAATTTTCTCTTTTGGAAAATTCTATTAAAACTACCACAAATACCACTCTTTGTGGATTCCAGTCTGTGTATAATCCGCATGTAATCAACATTTATTTTTGTAACTTTTCATGGCAGATTTTTGCAAATATGTGTCTCTTGCTTGAATGAATCTAATACTATTTTGTTTTAGTGGCAATTTTATGGTATTTGATTTGATTCATTTTCCGACATTAAAAGGATATTTATGACAAATTAGTTTTGTTTAGTTTGATTTGTGAATTTTAATGTGGTTTAAAGTTTTTGGGAATTGAAGATACAAATCGGATAGTGCAAGAATCTTAGTCTTTTTTCTTTTCTAAATCTCTCGTTATTTTAGAACGTGGGAGGAATTAAAAAAATAAAATAAAAATTTCCTTTAGCGCCTTTCTAGCATGTGTATTAAATTTAAAAAATGTATTAAAATCTACTCCTGAATCCTTAATGTATATATAAATGAGATATCAATTGCATTTTAAACGAACTTTCAGGAACAAAAGAACGTTTGCACCTTTCCGAATCATTTCTAATGGAAATAGCCTCACAATATATAATTTTATTTATACCCACTAGCAAGAGCTCGCTACTTCGCCAGCGAAATGTCCACCTTAACATTTAGATTCGTTCCAAGAGTTCTTGTTAGGCCTGTTTAGTACCCAATATGCTAATTTTTACATTTTGACAATATCTTCTAATCGTAACTTCATACATCGTACTTTTAAGGTTATATATTTTATTCAAGATTCTACCATTTTAGAAGGAGTAATGGGAAAATGTTTATCTTTTACACCAAAAAGTCTTAACGTTTGAAATTGTCCGAAGAGCATATTAATAAAACCATTTTATGTCCAAAACTATTTCAACGTCTCCATATGTTAGCTCAAAAAAACCAACAGTGACCTCAAGAGGAAATTTCAGAATTTCAGCTCTATACCAGTAACAGATTAGTTTATGTGTATTCAAAACAATTCTCACCTCTTCATCCTAGACACTAACAGTGATCCAAAACTTTATTCATTCACTTTTTGAACAATTATGGTCCACAGTTCCAAATCTCAACACCACATACCAAAATTCCAGGATTTCAACTCTATCCCTTCATCCAAGACCCAATTTTTTACCACTTTGTACTTTTCATACAATTATAGTACACATTTCCAAAACCAATTTCATATTTCAATCCCAGATACTAACAGAGACTTCAGTAGCAAATTTGAGAATTCTAACCCTATCCAGATTTAGTACTTTTCAATCAATTATAGATTTAACCATTTATAAAAACCTCAACAGTGTAATTTCCCCCGTTGCCAAATTGTCCATCATTTAGTACGTATTCCATATCTCAACAACAGATACCAAGAGAGATACCTCAATACAGATTCACTCAATACCAAACATAGTACCATTCAGTACTTTTCGTACAATTATAGCATAAATTTTCAAAATAGTTTTCATATATAAATTCCAGATACTAATAGAGCCCTCAATATCAAATTTAAGGATTCCATCCCTATACTTTTGCCCAATACAAAATGTTGTGCTATTTAGTACTTTTCGTACAAATTCAGGACGAATTTCCAAGCCCCCGCTAAATCTTAAACACAAATACCAGTAGTAATCTAAATATAAAATTTTTGAATTTTATCTCTACCCCTTCATCCAATACCAAATGAAGTACCATTCAGTACTCTTCGTACATTTAAGTCACACATTTCCGCAATCACTACCATATGTCCAGGCGAAACATGAACAGCGACCCCAAGGCGTGCTGATTTTTATTATTACCACTCACTACTTTTTGAAAAATTAAAGTAGACATTTCCGCAATCGCTTCCATATGTCCAGGCTACATGTGAACAGCGACCCTAATGCCAGAATTTCAGATTTCAAGTACTATCTATTTACCCAAACCTAAATAGTTTCGAACTATGTACTCTTAGTATTTTTCGTGCACTTATAGTACACATTTCTAAAACCACCTCTTTATTTGAAACTTGCTACCAAAACTGTGAATTTCCCATCGCGAGATAACTTCGCTTCTCGCTTGGTTCTCATCACATTTTACACAAGCAGAATCTCTATTGTAATAATGCAACATGTGACCCCATTTCTGCCATCTATAACTTCGAACAACTTCTAAGTTTATTTTCGGCAATTCCCAATGTGCCTTTTGTTTCAACCCATATCGAAGAGGTCTCAATTCTGATAGCGTTTTCTCAGACTGCAGAGTTATAGGATGAAGACATGTATCAATACTGTTTCCTTGAGAAAGAAGTGGGGAACTTAGAGACGCAACAAATGATAATGTCAAATTACTATTTAAATATTGCGAATCACAAATGGAATTCTCGATTCCTTGGGCTCCGATCGTTTGTACTACAACTATGCGTACGAGTCATATGAAATGTACGAAATCACTAATACGTTTTTGGACCTAGTGAACCAGGCTGATACAACCCTAATATTCTTTAAAACATGACCATCCACAGAAAAAGTAAGGACTGAAAGACACTTAAATATTTCTTGAAAGCAATTCTCTTATTATTGGATTTTTTATCCAAATCACCCAATATTGGAAACCTATTCCTCGATAAGAGTGTTGGATTGATGAAATTTTGTGGAACGTTAAGTCAAAAATGTTATATAAATACCTTAGCATTTCGATTTTTCGTGTTGAAATATTTCATCATCGAGTGGGACATATTCTTCTTAATCCACATTGCATTCCATTTCAACTGAAGGAGAACTTTATTAGAAATGCATGGCAAATTGGAGTGCAAAAGTAGCTACAAGAACGTTTTTTTACCATTTTTTTCTTTTTGAAATCATACCTTTTGCATTTGATTGCACAAATTCTTGACCATGGTATTACGGTTATTCCTTTTGGAGATTGCTGAATTTGACCGATTAACGTTCATTGCGAGACGAATCATATACGAGCTTTAAGATTGCTAACTTCGTCTTGATCTTATAATTAATCTTATCGGGATGTATATCTTGTCAGGAACCCATGCTTTCTTGCCCAGGGTCGAACATCATCTCCAAATTCCAAGGAAAATCTTATCAAAACCAAAATCCAATGAGAAATTCAAAAAAATTGATTTTAAAATATTTTTCATTTTTTTGTTGACAAAAAAAAAACTTCCGAATAGTTTGAAAGTCAATGTATACTGGCTCCTAGAGTAGAATTTATGACAAATAATTGTGAAGTATATTTAAACTTGCAACGATCCCATTTTATGGGAGTTTCAACAATATTTTAAGAAAGGCGTCAATAAGCTCATTTTGGTTACTTGGCTGAGGGTTAAATTTTTTTATCAAAATAAAATTGTATTATTATTCGTAATATTGTCGAAGACACTATACAACAAAGATGCATATATTCCACGGAGTTTTAATCCGAAAATTTAAAAAAAAAATGTAACAGAGTGGGGAACTTTCTCCATTTATTTCTTTGAGTTTGTACATTTTCTTACCAGAACCAAGGATTTTACAAATATTAGCATGTGAAAAGATTGAATAAAAAAGCATGCCTCCTTCTGTTTATATCAAGGCAATTATTTTCCTTTAAAATTCCAGACGTCCAAGTTTGGACGAAATGTTTTTAGTACTTATGAAATGTATAGTACAATATTATTTAACAGATTAGTGGAATGAAAAAGAATAACCTTCACTGTCCGGGAATTATAGAATGTGGATTAAAATTTAATGAAGGTGCGGCTAGTCAAAAATTTGTAAGATTGAGAACAGTCGACTCAACTCAAGTTTGAGTTGCGAAAAATATAGGAAACATATCCATTTTTATACCCACATTTATACCTTTTATAAAAACCCCCAAAAAGAAGCAATTATAAAATTATAGCTAACCTCTTAATATTTTAAAAAGGTTCATATGCTTCAATATCTTTCCTAAAGTCAGTGAAGCCGTACAATTTGATTTTTTTTATTATAAATAAAAAGCTGGTATTAGACGCGCTCGGGGGAGGAAATCTAAATCCAAGCCGAAGGCAAATAAAAAATATAGAAAAACTTAGATTTGCATAGCCTTTATTTGAGATATTCATAGGAAGATATTCCAAAAAGAAGCCGCAAGCCAACTACTTCAAAAATTACACATTTTAGAAAAACATAATTTAATTTTTAACATGTTATGGGTGCCAGCCTAAGGTATTACGTTTCGGACCTAAATATATATGATATAAATATTGCGACGTATCAAGTATGGACAATATTGGTTACTTCCTTCACTTTATATGAAATATGTGATAATTTTTAGAAAATCCTGAAATGCGCGTGAGATGTCGGATATAGTCGACCGAAGTATTCCGTTTTCATAATTCATCTAATACAGATAAAAATATTGGTATGGACAAAATGACAAGAAAATCAAACATTAATATTTCTGATTTATTGTTTGTTTTCTCTTTCGAGACGAGCTTAATGATCTGAAATTTGCAGTGAAAAGGAAAGCCAGATAGACACTATCACACACTCACCACTATGCGACGCGTTTCGCCGTTGGTTAAGCGGCTCATCAGGCATATTTGGTGTGGATGATGGCTTACAAGGGCCGTTTCTCTGGAAAGTAGTATATATTTCGAACTTATTGCAAATTAGCATATGCGAATTATACACTAGAAACTCTCCAGGTTGGACTCAAGTTCTATTGGCAGATCTTTTTCACAGCAAAGTTTTGTTTTTGTAGTGATGGATTTTTTGTCCACAACAACTACATTGCTTCCAATGCATACACTTGTTTTAGTGCTGCTTTAGGAAGACGGGTTAATGGCTCTGAACGTAGAGACGGCAACTTCTAGTTGGCTGCACACCGAGGTCCGCGGTTCAAATCCCACAGCCAGGCTCGGCTGAATTTTTGAGTTTTGCCTTGTTAAGGCGAAGATCATATGTTTTATGATTTATTGTTTGTTTTCTCTTTCGAGACGAGCTTAATGATCTGAAATTTGCAGTGAAAAGGAAAGCCAGATAGACACTATCACACACTCACCACTATGCGACGCGTTTCGCCGTTGGTTAAGCGGCTCATCAGGCATATTTGGTGTGGATGATGGCTTACAAGGGCCGTTCTCTGGAAAGTAGTATATATTTCGAACTTATTGCAAATTAGCATATGCGAATTATACACTAGAAACTCTCCAGGTTGGACTCAAGTTCTATTGGCAGATCTTTTTCACAGCAAAGTTTTGTTTTTGTAGTGATGGATTTTTTGTCCACAACAACTACATTGCTTCCAATGCATACACTTGTTTTAGTGCTGCTTTAGGAAGACGGGTTAATGGCTCTGAACGTAGAGACGGCAACTTCTAGTTGGCTGCACACCGAGGTCCGCGGTTCAAATCCCACAGCCAGGCTCGGCTGAATTTTTGAGTTTTGCCTTGTTAAGGCTCGTCTCGTTAAGCTCGTCTCGAAAGAGAAAACAAACAATAAATCATAAAACATATGATCTTCGCCTTAACAAGGCAAAACTCATTAATATTTCTGGTTGAGAGAAATATTTAGATAATGGAAAAATTTAGTAAAGAATCTCTGACTTGTTTCCCAAGTTATGACAGATAAATGTATTGAAAATTGTGACCCTTTGTGCGTGAGGTAACAGAAGGGGTTCGCAGATTTATACCATCTTCACAAAAGATCCTGTGCAGCAGAAATGTTTTTATGTGTGATATTTAAAGAGAGTTGGATGCTTATTTCGCTTTCTTTGAGCGTTTTGTTTTTCAAAATCTTGAACCTACGTGGGAAGGGGCCAGAAGAAATGCTCCGATCTCTACCATCTTTATAACAGATCTTATGTTAATGGAAGTATTGAGATGTTCCAAGTCTGAATGGAATCGGACGTTCATTTTGTGTTTTATGAGCTTCATGAATATTAATTTTTTTACCCTTTTTGGGGGATGGAATCAGAAGGAGTGGTCTGAAATATTGCATCTTCACACCAGACCTGGGGTTAATAAAAATAAAGTGAGGTGTGTGGTTTGAAGACAATCGGACGTCACATTACATTATAACACATTTTTTACTAGTTATACTTTTTCAAACTTTTGACCCTTTGTGGGGGAGGTACTTGATGGAATGAAACGATATTGTCTATTTTCGCACCTAACCTAGCACTGATGCAAATATCAGGATTTGTTGGAAGAAAATCGGATTACCTTTCCTCTTTCTGTACGGTAAAACTTTTTTTGTTTTGGAAATTTCGATCTTTTGTGGGGGATGTACCAGCAGGAGTGGGCCGATATTATCCATCTCCGAACTCAATCTAAGTTTTATAATATTATTACGATGTACCAAGTTTGGATCAAATCGAATACACCCTTCGAGAGTAAGAGTTAGAGCCATCCAGACAGGCCGAAGGACGGACATCGCTAGATTGACTCCAAATGTTCTGAATCGGATTTGGTCCAAAGAGACCTAGGCTCTGAAGCCGTTATTTCAATGAGGCACGTATTTGGCCGTATCATGGCTGAGGGAATGAAAACGATGAGTTTTTATACCCTACACCACATAGTGGTAAGGATATTATGACTTTGTGCATGTGTTTGTAACATGGAGAAGAAAGCGAGATAGACCTATACTTCCTTTTGATGATCAGCATAGAATCACATTTTGAGTCGATTCCGATCTGTCCATGTATTTTTGTAAACAAAATGCAGGTCGCATTAATTATTCGATTGAGATGAAATTTTCTAAATAACATTTGTTTGGTTCAAGGACGAACCCTATTGAAATTGGTGAAAATCGGTCTAAATTTAGATATAGCTCCCATATATATCCTCATCCGATTTTAGGTTTCTTGAGCACCAAATGGATAATATTAGTCCAAATGGTATGAAGTTTGCTACATCCGACCGAATTCAGCCTACAAGCATGTGCTTTAAATTTGGTGAAAATCGATTCCATATAGCTATAGCTCACATATATATGTTTCATCCGATTTGAGGTTTTAAGTCCCTCACACTCGTAATATGCACTCCACGAGACTGACATTTTGCACCAGATATCAGATGCAGCCTAGCAATTCATGATTCAAATTTTATCAATATCGTTTCGAATTTGGATATAGCTCCCATATATATATTCATCCGATGTTAGGTTTCTTGTGCACCAAATGACTAATATCAGTCCAAATGGTGTGAATTTTGGCACCTCAGACCGAATTTAGTATAGAAATAAGTACTTCAAATTTGGTGCACGATACAAGAGTAATATTTAGTACCAGATATCAGATGCAGCCAAATTTGTACCGGATATGACATAGAGCTCAGAAATTGTAATATAAGCCTTTATTTTACGAGAGTTCTACTAAATATGCATAGTGGTGTAGGGTATCATACAGTCAGCCACGCCCGACTTTTTACGCGTTACAATGTGGAGATAGATAGGGATTACATTTCTTTCTCTTCTCAGACAAGCTAAAATGGGTCTGACTCCAGATGACTTCATACACCCTAGATTTAATTTTAATATCTCTATCGATCCTTTAAAACTCCTTTAAATTGAATGCTAGTTTAACAAAAAATTACTCAACTCTTTTATGTTTAATATTCAAATTAAAAACTTAAATTTCAATAGGCCTTTGCCTTTAGAACTAAATTTTCCCCTAATTTCGTTCGCATGATCCCAGAATTAAAAAAGAGAGGTCCATTTATCAATGCAACAACCCCTTGTTGCATCTAGTTGACTTCCCACATTTGTTGGGTTGTTCAATTTATAAGCTCTGCTCTTCCTAAATGTGTTCATTATAACTTTTAATGACATGTGTTGTCGTCGTCGTCGTATGTGTATTTAAACAACAACAACGATAGCAGCAGCAGCCTCATAACCCAAACTGTATGGTATTTTGATTTTG